GCAGTGGTTCGCGCCTTCCTGGCAAATTCAAGGCCCCGAGTTCCATCCCCATTACCAAAAAAAAAAAAAAAATTATAATTCAGTATTTTTTTTCTTTATAACAAATTATAGCCTTTAGAGACTTTGACACTAGGGCCTCTCTTTTGTGGTTCATCCACCAACATCAATTTATATTTTTGGGGCTGGGGATTTAGCTCATTGGTTCCAGTGCCTGCCTCGCAAGCACAAGGACCTGAGTTTGATCCCCGGTACCCCCCCAAAAAATTTTATATTTTTGCTCCAACTTTGGACATGTAAAGTTTGTAGGAAGATTTGCTTTTCCATTCATTTTCAATAAGTGAAAAATTTTACATTTTTCTTAAATTTTCCAATTTTCAGTGATATGAAGCAGCAGTTATTTTTGATTCTATAACAAAATTACCCCATTTTTATGTGTTTATTTCATTTTGGATTACTGCTGTTGAGTCCAGTTTTTCCTGTCAGCCTGGTTATAATATATTTAGCATAACAATAAGCAGGCCAAAAAAACAGAAAAAAAAAAACCCAATAAACCAAAAAGCACCCAAACAAAAACTTTCTCAAATTCTAAGCAATTATTGTGTTGTCTGGTGGCTTTGTAAAAGAGAATTATACAAATGGAACAGATCTGTGGACTCATCTAACTCAATCTCATTTTACAAGTGAGAAAACTGAGTTGCAGAGGGGTCATGTGACTCACCTCAAGTGAAAGCCTGAACAAGGGTAGGGGCTAAAAGGGCTGGAGGTGCGAGACAGACATGATAAATATTGACTGGACTGTTGAAGGAGGGAAAGGAACAAGTCTGAGATTATCCTAGACTTCAGGCTTAGGTGATTGGGAGGATTTTGACGTCGTTATTGAGACAGGAGACCTGAGGTGTAGGTAGGGGATGAATTTAGCTTTTCAAATGCCTAGCTGGATGTAGAAGTGGAATTGGGCTATTTGAATTTAAAGTTTTAAAGGTTGGAGTGGAGTGATAAATTTGAGAGCTGTCTGCTTCTAGATGATAGTCACAGGAGAACCAAGTCCCATCTTGGAAAATACCCACTTAAGAGGCACAGCTGTAGCCTGTCAGCCTCCTCTGGCCAACACATGCATTTCATTTGGTCCACACAAAAGTTTTAACAAAATATGAGTTAGTACTTTTATATTTATTTCTTTGTAAAAGTGAGAGGATCCAACATCACTGGGTTGGCTTCCTGGTTGGCAAAAGTCAATTCAAGCAGAACAGGGACAAGAGCTCCATAGTCTACCCATGGGCTCCACTCCTTTATGCTACCTGCGTGGCTGGTAAAGGCTTTGGGGTTCAAAGCCTCGGATGAGCACAGGAGGATCAAGAGGGGAGTTAAGGGCAGTTAAGGACAAGGGAAAGGATGAGGGGTCCCAAGATGGAAATTAAGGGAGAAGAGCAGAGGTAAGAGGAGAACGTAGAGGGTGACAAGAAGGCAAAGGAGGAGGAACAAAATTTGTTTGCACAGCACTCTCCAGCTATTTTGCTAATCCAAAATTTAGGAGTCATTTTTAACCTTTCTTTTCCTCATTGTCCTGTGTAATCCATCTCCACGGTGGTCACGTCTACTTCTAGTCCTTAAATTTGTTGATTTCTCTCAATCATTTGTTATTATTGTTTTGTCTTCTACAGGCATTGTTCAATCTTTCAAACCAATATATGATGTAAAACAGTGCTTTCGTCTTAACTCCTTTTTTGTATAAATCTGCCGAGGGCCAGAAAATATAAGTACTGTTATCTGTTAAAAGTCAATAGGCTGGGAAATAACAGAAAACAAAACAAAACAAAAAAAAACCCAACACATTATTTTAGGATCTGGCTCTTTATGTGTCTACACACATTACAGGACTGGTGTATATACATGTAGGGAATTTCTTCAGCACCAGAGGATCTCTCTCCATCCTTTCTTACGTGCTCCATGCAAAAGCAACTGGGCTTTCTGCATTCTTTCTTGCCTCTAGTTTTTCATATACGCAAGCCAGCAGGTGGTCTTAGAAAACTAGCTCCTGCCTCTCACGCTCCACAGGCGTCCCATCGCACCCGAGATAGAATCCGCGCTCCTCACGATGGCTCAGACAGGCTCCGCATGGTCTGGACTCTCGGTGCCTTACTGAGCGCCGACTTCCTTCTCAGGGGCACCACCGCGGCCGCTTTCCCACTCCCCGGCACTGAAAACCTCTGGGCTGCTCTTCCCGCAGATCTCCGAGACCCGACGGCTTCTGTTCTGGTTCAACGAGCCTCTTCACAGGGCACTTTGGCGTCTCAGACCAAAGGGGCGGCTGCCTTCCTTTAGTTTCCAGCAGTTTACTCTTTTCCTTTCACACGTTTATCGCTAAGAACGCATGTACAGAGCATAACTCTGTATAGGGTTCTTTCACGCTTGCTTTCTCAACTAGAAAATACTCGCCTTGAGGGCGGGCCCAGCGTCTACTAGCTCACTGCTGCGCCCGCCAACGCTGTAATAGCGCTGACCTGGCACGTAGTGGGACCTTAACAAATGGTGGTGGAATGAAGATGTGAACAGCTGTTTGCAGCAGAAGCGGAGGAGACTAAGGAATACGACGCACACACTTGTATTTCAATAATTAAAAAAAAAATTACCCAAGAGACTTTACAATTACGAGCAGCCGCGCAACTAAATCCGTACTCTGCCCGGCCCAGGTCCGCGGCGGCCCGCGCCTGCGCACACCTACCTTGACGGCCCGTTCCACCTTTCCCGAAGGGGCGGCCCCCTAGGCCTCCGGCGCGTGTGGATGACGTCACTCGACGCGTGCCTGGTAGCCCGTAGTAACCGGAGTCCGCGGAAGTGGAGACCTGTGGGCAGTCGGCTAAGACAGGTAACCTGCAAGCTGGAGGTTGGACCCCTGCCTTTCTCTCTTTGCATCGCTCGGGAGCAGCATCTGGTTCGGAAGGGGGCCGGGAGCCCGGTTCTACCTTCATCTCCGTGTTGTCAGCGGGGACCCTTTCCCTTCTCAGTTTCCCCAGACTTAGGGGGCTGAAACCGGTCCTGGGGACTGGACGAATCAGCCACGTCTCAGTACCTCAGAGCTCCGGATGGAGAGGGGCTTTGACTCTCCTTAAGCCTTTGCTGCTGCCTCCTTCCTCTTTGCCCTCCAGGCCTTATTCACCCGCCCGGCTCTGCTCCCCAGCCTCACTTGGCTTGCCCCAGTCTGTTTTAAGCAGAAGACAGTTTCGATTCTGTTCCTTACCGCCTTCGGTGAAACCCGTCCTCCCTCCTCCTCGCCCCCAGGATCCTTGTTGAGGTCACTGCCTTTTGAATTTTGGTGTTCCTACAGAACCTTGTTTCTCTATCGCAGAGAATGTTGCTCATTAATCCCTGTATTCTTGGGGGCGAGGGTTGAGGGGGTGGCGGCGGCGGCGCAGTAATGTGAACATCTATTGTGATGATGATTCACTTGGGATCCAGTCCACTTGAGATGCACGAAACTGTAAATAGCACTTCATTAAAATGCTCACGTTCTAGATTTGCCCCTGGATTTTTTTAGCCTTCAAGCAATGATGACAATTACGCTTGCAAAAGTAGTCTTCAAAATAAATGAGTAACATCTCTTTAGGTAGGACTGGTTAGATCGCTAAAATAGCAAAGTTCATATTTTTGAAATTAATTTTATTGGTGCATTTCAGGTATAATGTAATGACATTCATCATTGGAAATTTGCTACGTAATCCATCTTGGTTCTTATTTTTTCCCCATTCCCAAGATTCATATTGTTGATAAAGGAATAATACAGGTCATTTCAAAACCAACCACAGTAGATGCTGTTGTAGATGGGATGAGAAACCAAAATCCTGCAGTTCTTCATCTTGGTGGTTTTGCTTTTGTTTTCTTGTATTATTAGTATGCTCCCTTTTTGAAGAAAAGTAATACAGTAATCCTGAGAATCCTACCAATGATTTGATGATTGATAAGATTAAATTCTGACAGTATTTGGAGTACAAAGTAATTGTTTATTGTTTGCCATCTACCATATCACAGGAATAGTGTGCAGCACTTTACATATATCTTCTGTTTGGCCCACACAGCAGCTTTTGAATTAGGAATTATTATCTACAATTTACTGAGAAAGATCCAGAGGTTCAGTTATGTGAAATTGGCTTGGTGAAAATTCACAGTTAACAAATTGCAAGGGCAAGAATTAAATTCGGACCTATATAAAGGTTGCACTTTTCTTTTTTGTTAAAATTGCTATTAGTAAAAATAAAATATAAAAAAATTGCTATTAGTGATCAAACTGTAGGCTTTTTTTGTTTTGTTTTTTGGTACCGGTGATCCAACTTGGGACCTTGCACTTGTGAGGCAGGCAGTGTAAATCCCTGGCCCTCTAGGCTTTTTTTTTTTACACTAGTTACACTTAATTCTATGTCTTTCATCACTTGACTATATAAATGTTTTGACACTTACCTTTCAATACATTCTTATATTCGGGGAAGTAAAACATCTAGAAAATTTAATTTGTGATCCCTCTGTACCATCTTTAAGATAAATGACAAATAAGATTGCTCAGTACATGGCTTCTGTTTGGAGCCTTTTACTTCTTTAGAAATGAAAATCATATTGATGGAAACATTTTAAATGTACTAAACAATTTCTTGCTTTTGTCGACACTAAGCACACTGAACAGATTCAGCTTTGTGTTATGCAATCATAAATATTTATTGTCCTGTGTTGTACTTTGATGATTTCCTCAGAGCATTTATTATATTTCATCTTCAAACTGCTTTGCATTTTGAGTTTGCCCATTCTTTTGTAGTCGATTCTTCATTGTCACAATAGATAGTAAGATACAGTGATTAAAACTAAGGATTGCAGAACCAGATTTAGATTTTTATGTACCCGGGATAGAACTCAGGACCTTTCATTTGCAAGGCAGGCTGTGGAACCACTGAGCCAAATCCCCAGCCCTACTTTCAGATTTTAAATCCTAGCTCTCTCACTTGCTAGCAGCGCAGTGAGCCTGGGTAAGGTACTTGTCCCCCCACATCTTAGTCTTCTGATTTGTAAAATAGGGATAATAAGAACACTTATGAGATTGTTGTGAGGGTAAAATGAGTTAATATGTATGAAAAGTTTAGAACAGTGCCAGGCATATTGATAAGGCCACATGTTTGCTAATATTATTATTCAGCCAGTCTTGGCTTTGAAAGTTACATTCTAATATTTTGAAAATGGTTGTTCCTTGAATGGTATTTGATACATGATAATTACCAGTTTAATAGATAATTAAATTAACCTAACTGGAATATTTCTTCCTAAGCTATTCTGGAAAAATGTGAATTTATTAAATCCACTTTCATTGTGCCTTCACCATGCAATAAACACTTTACTTGAGATGTTTGAAGTGGTGTTTTAAACTATTGTACTCTATTATTAATTTCTGTTTTGAATTTTGAAGCTATTGCAGTAGTTTAAATTATGATGTACACAGAAACCCCTGCAGAACTATTCCCTTGGCCCATATTACTATGGTTCTATATGAATAAATGTATCCTTAAAAAACTATGCATCGACACATATAAGCATACTTCTTCAGTATAGTTTTCTTTCTCTCCCATTCTCCCTTTAAAAAACTTTTTAAAAAATTGCTTGTTAACATTTTTTCCTCAAAGTTTTCCTCATAAAATTTACAAGAATATACAGGACAGGGGATTTAGCTCAGTGGTTCTGCCGCCTGCCTTGCAAACACAAGGTCCTGAGTTTGATCCCCGGTATAAAACAAGGGAATTGAACTCGGGATCTTGCGCTTAAGAGGCAGGCTTGGCGCCCCTGAGCTACATCCCTGGCCCTGGGTGTGTATTTTAAACCAAGTCACCTAAAGGTTGATGTTGACTCCTTTGGTGTACATAGTTATGAACATAAGAATGAGTGGTCTATCCTTTATACTAATACCACTATGGCTAATACTTATGTTACAACTTTCTGTTCAAAATACATGTTGTGCACTTTGTAAAAATGATTCTCTTTTTTTTGTGGTAAAATGTACACATTTAAGTGACACTAAGCACATACATAGTGTTGTACAGTGTAATCAGCGTTGTCCATTTCCAGAAGTTTTTCGTCATTCCAAACAGAAACTCTGTACCTATTAAAATAACTTCTTACTTCCCTTTACCCCAAGTCCTGGTAATTTCTTTTCTACTATCTGTTTCTGAGTTTGTCTATTTTAAGTTCTCAAGTAGGTAGAATCATGCAGTATTTGTCATTTGTTACTGGCTTATTGCACTTAGCATAATGTTTTAAAAGTTCATCCATGTTAGGGGCTGAGGATTTAGCTCAGTGGTTCCAGCGCCTGCCTCATAAGCACAAGGACCTGAGTTCGATCCCTGGTACCAAAAAAAAAAAAAAAAAAGTTCATCCATGTTATAGTATATGCCTGAGTTACATTACTTTTTAAAAATTCAATAATATTCCAGTGTATGGATGAACTATATACTATACTTTTGATGAATATCGAATTGTGCTTCTTTATACTTATCTTGGATAGTATGAACTCAGTATTTGGTGATTTGAGGGTGAGCTCTTAGAATGGAGCTATCAACTCAAATTATAATTGTTTTTGAACTATAAATAAAATGTTTGGTGTACATTGTTAAATTTGCCCTGGCACACATTGATTATAGCTGGTGCACAACTAGTACAGATAATAGTGATAATATTGCTAATGCTTCTGTGGTGTTCATGGTAAGTCAGGCATTGTTCTTCATTCTTTACCTATAAAGTAGGTGTTTTTGTTCCTGTTTTACTGATGAGGAAACAGACACAGGGAAACTAAGTGAATTCTTAAAAATACTCTGGATAATAAGTGTTAAAATTGGGAGTTCAACTTAGGCTGTCTGTCTTCTGAGTCCGTTGATCATTAGGCTTTGTTAGTGTATAGCTTGTTTTGCTTGCCACACTCTTCTGTCTCTCATTTTATATTTTCTTTATTATTTATTTGTTTGTTTTTTTGAGACGGGGTCTCACTATGTACTTGAGACTGACCTGGAACTCACTGTGTAGCCCGGGCTGGTCTTGAACTCACAGCGGTCCTCCTGCCTCAAGCCTCCCAAGTGCTGGGATTACAGGCGTGCGCCACCACACCCGGCTTATATTCTCTTTAAAATTGAAGGTATCTCTGACCTTACTAAGCAGTAGAATAACCGAACCTAAACTGTCACCATAGTAACAGGTGCCTCTCATTTGATTGGGATAACATTTAAATGGAATTCATAGTACATTTTCACAGCTTAGTTCTTATTATCCTTCTCTGAGAACCTAGGCTTTGAAAAGCAGAGCCTGAAACTTATAATTTCATATTGCATATATATTGTTCAGTGTTTGATTTTCAATATTGCACAATTGCTATACTACAAGAATTCTATGAGTAGGCAGAACTTTTTGTTCATAATGTTAGTGACTGTCAGAATGGTTTATGGCACTTATTTTGCTACTAACTCATTACTCTGTTGCTTGATTTTTGAAAAAATTTTGAAATAGCATTTTTATATACATGATCAATTTCATTGTAATTTTTTCTTGGCTTTTTGTTTTGCTTATATTTTATTTCTTTGACATTTGCAATCAAAAGCTTCATTTTTGAAAGTGATGGAAATCAGTGTATGCTTGATATATTTTGGCATCAAAGAAAACATATCAGCCTGTTCTTTTTGGCACCAGTAATAGCTTGCATATGTCACAAGTACAGTGTATATTTGGAGGTATGAACTGTCTTAATGTCTGGTAGATATAGAATCATAGAGCCAAGTGTAGTGGTGCACACCTGTAATCCCAGCACTTGGGAGGCTGAGGCAGGAGGATCGCTGTGAATTTGAGATCAGC